ATCCCCAAAAGTTTCTCAGCGGATTTGGGCTGTACTCAGCAAACGCAGTACAGCTTCCAACTCAGATCTGAAAAAAAAATAGTGGATGGTTGTTTTCTGACTGGTCGGCAGACCGCCGACTGGTCATCCCTACTGGTCGGCTGCAATACGGTCGGCGGTCGGGGTCGGCGGTCGGCAGGGATGCAACCCTGCAGTATAGGTTATATTTAATATATTCCCACTTGGGACTACACTGTGGAATGTAGTGGTGGTTTAAAGCTGTATATTTTTTCACCACTCCCAATTCAGACACAATGACACATTCTGAGATGGTCATCTCCCCCCTCCCCCCCCCTTATTCTTGGCATGGTGGTTTAGCAGCATCAGGCTTGGTGCCCCCTTACAATCTTCCCCCAAATAGAATGTACTGTCCATATCGCTGTACCTACAGTCTAGACTGAAAGTTGCAACAAAAAGTTACGGCTAAATGACCGTACGTTCGATTTGGGGGAAGACGGTAGTCGACGATTCCTTCTGGAAAGATCCTCCTTGCGCTGCAGCCTGCTAAGAGAACATCCAGCCGATGAAGAGCGTGTGGGAGAGTCGCATGGGGTGAGTGAGGGATCGAAGGAGAGAGCAAGTGACGGGGTAAGTGAATGTGGGGGCAATGCCTTTTGAGTTAAAAAATATAGAGCATAAAACAATAGTAATACTGTAATAGATTAAAAAAATAGTAAAATACCCACTGGCCAAGCGCGGAAAATATAGAGCATAAAACAATACTAATACTGTAATAGATTAAAAAAATAGTAAAATACCCACTGGCCAAGCGCGCAGTTGATACACCCATGAACTGTTGAAAAAAAAAAATACAGACCTGAGTTCGAGTTCTAAGGGAACGAGATGAGTGAGAATAAATCTGATTTTACCTATAGGGCCGGTCAGTTCAAAGACGATATCTCTAGGCTGCCACCCTTTAGAAAAGGGGGAAAAAAAATTAGACTACCAGAGTGGCCTGGGCCCTAGGGCAACTCGCTTGCCCGGGCCAAAACTAAAAAAAAAACTGTTATTTTTTATTTGAAATTTGGTAAAGAATCTCAATGTGACCCTGGGGCCTGGACCCACTAGCAAGGTATTCTACCACGCCGTTCAGGATTTCGATCACGTGTGGCATCGAGTGACTCTGTACGGCCGTCGAATAGATAGGATCTCGACGGCCTGGTAGTTTCCGAGCGGGGACTGTAAAGATGCCCACCTCCCGTCCAATGAGATGCGTCGAAAAAAGAAAAAAAAAAACGAAGTTGGACTAACTTGGACATGATAGCTCGTGGCTTTGCGTGGGCGGGAAGTCAGGATTTTATGGGCTTTAAAGGCGGGGGGGTTGATTTCCAGACTTCGTTGTTGTTGTTTTTTTTGGCTCTGAGAAATAGAACTTGAAATGTGAAATTCGAATATTGTGGTGCATCTGACAGGAACGCTTCCGCGTCTGTCAGATGGCCTGCTAAAGGCATCATGAGATACCTCGCGAGGAATGTATTCCAATACCCGTTACTTGTTCATCCTCGTGAATGTGTTCGTGGACACATTTTATTGCCACGGTACATCACTATGAAGACTTACGTGAAGGAGATCGTACCAACCCATGAATTCGGGTGCACAGCTGTTCTTCATAGTTTTGTGTGCTATTTCAACTCGTTTTCTGATTGTGCACCCTGTTCTTCAAAGTTTTGTGTGCTATTTCAATTCATTTTAAATCAGAAAACGATCCATTCATGCAAATAAAAAATCACTTAGTATTTTCCAAAAAAAAAACATAAAACCAAGGCAACCGGCCCGAACCCGAACGCCCGAACGTATGGGATCCCTTGGGGATGCGTTCGGCCGTTCGGGCCGAACGCGGACCAAAAAAAAAAAAAAAA